GTTAAAATCCAAACTGTAAACTTATATCAATTAACAGACCATTCATCATAACTTCCTTTTATTTATTATTTTTATTCAAGTGTGACGTCATTAAAAGTCTCAAATCCTTATACAACTACATTTATATATGGTTAGCATTACAGCTCGTATTTACGCATACGTATACGAAAAGCCACATGAAACTCTGCATGAGTTTCCGATATTACACAGTCACGTATAAATTCCAAGCAAGTCATAACATCAAATGCATCATTCACATCATCATCACTATTATCAACTTCAAATAAACTAGTATGACGCAGTATCTTGTACAAATACTACAAACTGTCGGGTTACTTGTTATATGTATATATGTTATGTTTACGCTTAAGGAAACTGTAGAACACATTTTAGGGTTTCAGTTATGAAAATAGAAAAAAGGAAGCAAATAAAAAAAAAAAAAAAAAAAAAAAACAAGAGAAGAACTTTCGTATACTTTTTAACGACGTTCATGCTAGGTTTGCTAGATGGGAAATGCAACATAAAAACATAATTTGACCCAGATTTATTGTGTATATATGTGTGTGTATATATGTGTATGTATGTAAATTTTTACCACAAAAAACAAATAAACAAGTTAACAAGAGTTTTTTCGTTCTCTGCCACGATAAAACGTGTACAAGACTTTTTATCCTAGTTAACGGTTGGGTTACAGTTACAGTTACATTTCCATGCCTTAGGGATATTTATTGCAATAGATGAGGCATGCATTTCGAATAATTAAAAAAAAAATGCTTACAATTAATTATATTTGTAAAATCAAGTGTAATTTCTGACCTTTCTCGTATTACTTCAAAGTAAGCTTAATCGGCTCGTTGCAAATGGAATATTTGGAATATTCGTATTGTGAAAAATGCTTTTAATTGACGTATTTGAAAGATATGAATTGAAATTGAATTAAATTCCTCTTATTTTCAAAGGCAAATAAATATCTATCTACCTTGAGAATTTAATGCATCCCATCAGTACGTTTGTAATTACAGAAGAACTCAAGGAGTGAGTCAATTTTTTTTTTTTTGTTAGACTACGTAAAAATGCTTCTTAGCGAGGCACAAATGATAATAGCCAATTTCATAATAAAGTAATCCTTTGTTTAATTTCAATTGTAGGTCCTAGCCTTTGCCAAGAGAGACTGGAAAGGAGCATTAAATTCTCATTTTCAATCAGATACTTACACTTCTACGTGTAACTTTCGATTTAGCAGAATATCATTCTGGATTATTTTTTAAATTTTTTTCCGTAACGTGAACTGTTAAGACAAATATTTTTTCTTTAATGCCGTGCGTCGGAAGCCTTTCGATCCAACAAATTGACATAGAGAGCTCAGTAAGTTAAATTTCAATTTATTTGAAAATGAGCACTATACACAATGTTACTACCTTTATGCCATTTAAATATATAGATCGGTATAAATATTTTTTCGTATTAGCATGAGTTGCTAAAATAAGAAATGTTTTTTCCTAAGTGTCCAATCTTCAGGCATTCGTTGGAAGCCTCTAGTTCGAATTAAGTTAAACTTCAATTTACAAAAAACATTAAAAAAGAAAGTTTTTAACATATTTCTGGCAATAACATCTCTATAGATTGGTCTTTTCCATTTGCCACTTACTTCATTCTGAATGTAAAAAGCGAACGTCAACATGGACAAGAGAAAAGTGAAATTAACGATAACCATTCGTATTCGACTCGTCAGTATTCCGGCCTACTCCTTATTTTTAAATAATCATTGCCTCGAAATTTATTAACAGAGAACTTTTAATAACTCACAAGCAAGCAATCTCTTTACTTATTAACATATATTGTTAACATATATTCGCTCTACACAATAACATAACAACATAAGTAAAATGAGAATGAATAGTGTTAGTACGCATACAAAGAGAATACCTGCTGCCTCGCAAAACATCTCTCTGCTGTTAATATAAAACACACCCATTATTGTATTACTTAAGAGTAGTTTGTCGTAAAGAGATTTTTATCAAATGAAATAAAATTTTGCGTTCATACTTTAGTAGGGGTTGTCAACTAAGAGAGTTCATTGACCTAAACTTGCTTATTATCAATATAACACGTTGTTTCTATTCATACATTGTATGACTGTAATGGGAAAATGTTTAGCAAAGAACATGCACATGCATGTAGCTGTAGATGTATGACCACAATTTTCTAAACGAATAAATGTATATAATTATAAACGGCATGATTAAAAAAGTGCACGTAAAAGGTTTATTTAAATGTGGCTTAGAATTCGGTTGTATATGCGCATCCATACCGCTACCTATGTCTTTGCAAAAACAGATGCTAGCAGTAATCTAGGAAATGGTATTCTATGCCGGCAGCACAACTAAATGGAGACATATGAAAGAGCTTAACAAAATCAAAAGGAATAATATTAAAACATAAACATTAGCCCGCGATAAAATGTTTTTAAATTTCCTAAAGCATTTAAGTTTTGCAGCAGCTTTAATTTTGATATATGAATAGGAAAAAGCCGTACAATAATTACGATTTTTAATTTGAGCTTTTGAATTGAACTTTAATTGAACTTTAAATCCTCAGCTTGCCGCACTTTTTTATCTATGGCTTTAAGTTGAAATTTCCAGTCAAATAGAACGTTTTTGTTTTTGATGACAAATCCCCGCTTAAAAGATGATTATCAGCAAGACTGCAATAGTATCGATGGACTTAAGGCCATGCGCACGTAAAATATTTAAATGTAGATGTTTAGGGATTGACACAATGAGACAGATTGGAACTTCGACTTTGCCGATTTTTTACAAAACTTTATGGGAATTGACAAAACATATGCTTAGGTCTATAACTCCAGTAACATGACGTAGAAGTCAAGGATTAATGGTGTGTTGTAGATCAGCCGAAATGCGAAAGTGTAGAGATCAAAATGGAGCCAAATGGGATGCCACCAATAGGATGTTTTGTATGAAGAAATTGTATTAGAGTGAATTCACTTTCAGTGCAGTCAGTCCGGATGCGAAAGAAAGAAAAAGACAAGATTTGGATGAGAGCAGTGAAAAATAGAAAAGTATATAGACAAACGAGACAAAAGAGATATAGTTAGAAAGAGAAATCGGCGGTTTTGATGAAAACACTTAGCTCATTGAGATGAGAGTAATCGTGAGTACAAAAAATATCAAATAAATTGTTGTAGATACGAAAAAAGCAAAGTTCAGACATTGTTCCATCTTTTGTATTTGAAGATGTTCAGCTGGTTCCGGTATCATCACTGTTAAGTGCTCGGATCATTTTCAGATACGGTTTGCCCTAAGTAAGTGGTTGCTCATAAGTTTGTGGACGACCTTAATCTCTCAAGAGGAGAAAAAAAGAGTCCGGCTGGTGTTTAAAGAACGTGGATGAAAATATTTTGTAGAAAAGAGGATGCGCTTTTCCTCTTGCGGAGTTTATGTATTCTTCATGAAGCTCACCGGTGATGTTCTTGTTATTTTTTCGAAATTTCTTATGTTTCTTATGTTTATGTTGGTTGGCTAGCCATTAGGTTTACCACTTGGGAGTTTTTAATCCGAAAACGAATAGTGTCGCCTCGTTGTATCTGCCCCCTCTATGTTTTTGTACCCTACACCACTTAAGATATCAGAATATGGATTACTTTGTGCAGTTGTATGCAATACTTGAAATAGACCCATTCTTTCTAATAGAGATTAATTCCGAATCATTTTTTGAATCGATTTAAGCTTGTCTGCCCGTTTGTCTGCCTGTCTTAATTCCTTATGTTCAACCTAAAGGCAGCAATTTTTTAAGATATTTTGATGGACTTTTTGAAATACCTTGTTTCCCACATAATGCTCTATTTTGGAGAGACGATCTATGGATAAATGTAGGGTGATTTTGGGTATTTACAGGTGTCCTGTATTCTAATAAAGTGTTGTTTCTTGTTTTTCCCCAAGGCATTTTTTTAGCCAGTTAGCAAGTAAAATGTAGATTTATGGTTAGGTTGTAATAGGCTAATACATGGCACATATTCTTAATTCATTTTGTGTAAAATTAAAGTTTAATAGAGCGAAACTAGATTTATTGAAAATTTTGTCCCCTTTACATCAATCGCCATGGATTTTGTGATTGAAAAAACTTCGAGTATGATAATAATATGAAATAATTCGATGTCGTATATGAACTATCCGATGAAGCTTTGTAAACTTAAACAGTTATTCTTCAATTGAACTTGCAGGAAATTGCGCCAAGAATAAAACTCATAAAGCCGATGCTCTAATAATTGCAAAGTAGCGATACGTACTCCTACCTGTCAACCAGACATAAATCTTATATTTGCATAAATATTTATGAGAATTTCGTAAAACTTTTATGTCGCACACCATCATCGCATCGACATTCCTACATGCATAAATAAATATTTTTTTATTATTGTAAAAATCTTATATGAATATACTTGTAAAAATATATAAATATTACCTCTGCTTTTCCAGTGTAATTGAAATACTGCTGCTTACCTCGTGCCTGGCTTTGGCTATAACCTTAGTAGTGCCTTCTATTTCGGTTGTACAACATTGTGTTTTCCGTGAGTGTCGATTTTCTGCTAACACTCAGAAAACACTTGAATCATATTAATGGGTTCATTGCCCAATAGCAAATGATGTTTACATAAGTTTTAAGCCTTAACCTTCACCATACCCCGGAGCAGACAAAAGACAGCAGACAAGAGACAACAATCAACCGGGCATGTATATGTAACATGCCAACCAAACATTTATATCGATGCACTTATAAATCGAAGTACTTTTTATTGTAAACATAAGAGCATATTTAACAGTTATTAAAGGATTTGAAATACTATGTTAAACATTGTGTCAATGAAATCATTTCGAGGACCATTTCAATATAATACATATGCACTTGAATTTTTTTATACAAAAAAACAAAAAAAAAATAAAGGACACAAATAAATTCAAATGATTTAAGCCTAGAACTTGTCAAACCCTTAATTAAGCGACATATGAGAAGATTTACTAAAAAAAAAAAAGTTTTTTTTTTTAATACATTCATTTCTTGTTTATTACATTCAGTTTGAGGATTGTTTTATAGTTCACATTAGCTACACATAGTATATTCTCATTTTCATTAGTTCAATTCAAATTTTTTTGATCATAAGTTTTTTTCTTATTTCTCTTTTTTCTAAAGTCTACTCCAATAAAGAGCTAAGTACTTAAATAGTAATACAAATATATCGATTTCTATATTATTTAAATTGTTTACAAAATATTTTTTTTAAATATTTTTTATTGAGAGCTGCATTAGTAGACGGTTTTTTTTTATTTTTCTTTTCATTTCAGGTTGGATTTTTTTGTTTAACCTTTTTCAAATAATTGGTTATAGTTAACCATGCAAGAACATGGGAGTAATTAATCAATTAGTAACAAGTAAGAAAATTATATTTGGCCGTGGCCGAATTTTTTATACCCATCACTTCCTTTTTTTTACCGAAATAAAAAAAAAATTAAATCTCAATACTCTATAATTATGCGATGAGAGTGGCTAGCTTTTCTATTTTTCGCTATATCTGTTGTATGATGATGAGCGGTGGGAAAGAAGTCAATTTTTTTTATTTTTATATAACAGGGATGTTCTCAATTTAAATTATACTATGACTTTTTTATACTTGACCATTTTTAATACCAACGTACGTGCAAAAAATTGCAATGTTTCCGTCAACTTAACTTAGCTTAAGTTTTGCGACCAGGACAACATTACACTGACAAACATGCTTAAATATCTCCAGAAAGTGTTGCTGATTAGCAATATGCATATATCAAGGGGTCTCATTCTGTATATTGCAGATATGTTGGAAAAAAGACTATGTCCCTATGCTTCATTCATTGATGGGTATAAAAATTGCCCGCCGAATCGAATTGTTACGAAGATAATTACGAAATTAAGAATTATTATTAAAACTTTTAAAAAAAGTATTATGAATATTATCACTTAAAATTGACTACGATTTCTCTTACTTATTTGCCTAGCAGCAATATTTTGAGTGTTTCTCAACAAAAAACAAAGACGAATCGGTGATCTATATTCTTTAAGAGGCCTACGGTGCAAATGAAAAATAAAAAAAAAAATCTTCAAGTCGGAAAAAGAAAGTTCTCTTCAAGATTTTTATCCGTAATAGTCATGTCCGCTTGTTCGCCCTTCGCCCAACCAAGCGCCGTCTTGCTTCCTGCTTATAATCCCAAAGCGGTAAAAATGTTGGCAGTTAGAATGTATTTGATTAGTTTTAATTCTTCTTTCAATTTTTATTCATAATTTGAACGCCGATTCAAAAAAAAGTAGGCATGATCCGTCTTTGAGTCCTTTATAAATATGTCCGTCTAAGCAAACATTAAAATCGATGTGTCTTCGCCAATGTTTTACAAATTAAAACGGGATCCGAATTAAAATTTGGTACAAGTATTATAGATTACTTGAATTAGTCCGTTTTTTATGGATAAGTATTCAGATTTATATTGTACTACAGAGTTATTAACAATATATAAACTTTTGATGGATCAAAGCAAATAATATTTAATATCTAGTAATAAACCTTTGCTTTGAAATATCTGGTCAATCAGAAAATGTAACTAAGTGAGGTTGATTAGAGAAAACATTTTTTCACATATATATATAATATTTTGTAAGATATCCATAAAGAAAGGAGAAAACAATTATATATAATGTATTTAAATGCATTTCTTTAAAACACAATGAAATCTACTGCTTCTCACAGGAAAATTTGTAACTCTTAAGTAATTTAAAAACTAATAGTTCTAATATTCAAATATTTCGCTTTCCACTTTTGACATAAAAGAAATATTTTAGATCACGAAATTTTTTTCTAATCTACTAAGGATTCATATTTTTAAGAGTTTTGCCTTAAAAGTTTTTTTCAATATATAATTTATTTATCCTTAAAGAAAGGAAACTGCGATACAATTGAGCACAGTTTCTAATGAACTTTTTAATCAATTTTTTATAAAACAATGCAGGAACTTTTCTCCCTAAATGGATTTATTTTTTGACTGTTAAAGCCAGTCAATAGGCAATCTTCATTCTCATGTTCATTCATATATTTGATCATCAACTTACAAGATTCAGATACTTGATGACGCCGCATATCAACCTCACGCTTTAATTGATCATTAACGGCGCGCTGCTGTTGTATATTGGCAGCCATTATATCCAATATGGCGGTATCTGCGAGCCCTATTTTGCTACTTATAGTCTTCAAAGTGATTGATTGATTATCGTGAATACTTAAGAAGACAAAAGACACCAAGCCAAACACTTGTAGCTCCCAATGAGGAAACACTTTGAGAGAGGATGTCAGACTGAACGAAAGCTATTTTATAAATAAATAAAAATGACATTACATTAAATGAATAGTGTACTATAAATTAACTTACCTTAAAAATTATTTTATTAATTTTTTCAAATGTTCTGACGATTTATAAAGTAATTATCAGTCTTTTGTAAGAAATCAATAAGCAAAACATAACCAACCGTTCATTCTTCCTGTAGTGTTAAAAGATGTTTACACGTGCCATAGAAATTTTAAAATATAGATCATAAGCATATGATGTAAATTCTACATGTGTAAACACTCTCATAGAAACCGTTCTTTGTCATGTGCTCAATGTTCATATTAAGAAAATATTAGTTCGTGTGAATACTTCGAGTACTTTGGTGTTAAGAAGAAGACATTATTTTGCGGCATACCAATAATTGAGGTTAACATTTCCTATTTTTATTACAAAGAAGAGAGAAGAAATCTGTGGAAAAAATGGCGTTATCTGTTCCAAAAGCTCCTGGTGTATCCCAAATGTTAAAAGAGGGAGCACGTGTAAGTGAAATTCACTTGTATTTTCATTATTTTTTTTCTCTACATACGGCCATGAAATGCGGTCATTTTCAACTTCATCATGAGTCATGTTAAGGAAAAAGAAATAATCAAGTTTTGATATTTATTTCTCAGATGTACACCGGATTAGAAGAAGCTGTCTACCGTAATATAGATGCGTGCAAGGAGTTTGCCCAAACAATGCGTTCTGCCTATGGCCCTAATGGTATGAATAAAATGATTATTAATCACATTGACAAGCAATTTGTTACCAGCGATGCTGGTACTATAATGCGTGAATTGGATGTAGAACATCCCGCGGCTCGTCTTATGGTTATGGCGAGCGAAATGCAAGATGCCGAAGTAGGTGATGGAACTAATTTTGTTGTAATATTTGCGGGGGCCCTTTTAGAAAAAGCGGAAGAGTTATTACGTTTGGGTATCACCACAAGCGAAATTGCTGATGGCTATGAAAAGGCTTTAGCTAAAGCCTTAGAAGTTTTACCTAAACTTGTGTGTCATGATATACGCGACTGCCGTAACGTTGAAAATGTCAAAAAATGTCTAAAAGCTTCCATTATGTCTAAACAGTATGGTCAAGAAGACTTCCTAACCGATCTTGTCGCCAAAGCCTGTGTTGCCATATTACCTGACAATGCCACCTTTAATGTGGACAATATAAGAGTGTGCAAAATTGTGGGCTGTGGCCTAACAAAATCTGAAGTAGTTCACGGAATGGTCTTTAAGAGATTTGTAGAGGGAGATGTTACGTACGCTGAGAATGCAAAAGTTGCGATATTCTCTTGTCCTTTGGATATTATACAAACCGAAACCAAGGGGACAGTTCTTATAAAAACCGCTGATGAATTGTTAAATTTCTCGGCCGGCGAGGAGAACCTCTTGGAAGCACAAATAAAAGCTATTGCCGATGCAGGAGTTAAAGTTGTAGTCGCTGGTGGTAAAGTAGGTGACATGGCTTTACATTACCTTAATAAGTACGGCTTAGTGGCAGTTCGTTTAAATTCCAAATTTGACATAAGACGTTTAAGTCGGGCCGTAAATGCTACCGTGCTGCCACGGATTACCACACCTACCCAAGAAGAGCTCGGGCACTGCGATAAAGTTTGCATAGAAGAATTGGGCGATACTACCATTGTAGCGTTCAGGTAAGGAAGAAATTTTAAATGAAAGGATACTTATTAATACATTTTTTTTGTAGAAATGAAGGCAAAAACTCTCGTATTTCCACTATAGTGATTCGCGGAGCTACTGACAATTATTTGGATGACATTGAAAGGGCGATTGATGATGGTGTTAATAATTTTAAAGCCCTGTCAGCGGATGGGCGTTACCTTCCTGGTGCAGGAGCCACCGAAATTGAATTGGCAACTCAAATTTCTTCTTTTGCTGACACCTTACCGGGCTTAGAGCAATATGCTGTGAGACGTTTTGCCACTGCTTTAGAAGTATTGCCTAAAGCGTTAGCCGATAATTCGGGTCTAAATGGTACCGAAGTGGTAAACCTCTTGTATTTGGCTCACAGAGAAGCCAGTGGTAAAAACGTAGGTGTTAATATTGAAGCTGAAAAGCCAGAGACTATGGACGTCACTGAAGGTGCAGACGATGAAAAACCGAAAATTTATGATTTATATCAATGCAAGTATTGGAGTTTAAAATACGCTGTCGAGGCTGCTGTCACCATACTAAAAGTCGAACAAATTATTAGGGCTAAAAGGGCTGGTGGACCAACAGCCCCTCAAGCAGCTGGCAGTGATGATGAGAACTAAAGTTAACATCAAACTTCCTCCTCCTCAAAGCCTCTCATTAAATGTCTTATTTTCTCCTCCGAATTTCAAGCATTCTATTATCATTTGTTTTTACCTATTCAAGAAAATTAACATTTTGCGTTTTAAGTAATCGTCAACTCATTTAAAGCCAACGGAGAAGCCATCTCATCGTTTAACTCAAGCGTTCAATTTAAAGTCATTGCAGTATAATGGATTCGATACATCTATCCTACTGCTTACGCCATGAAATCAACGAGCTCAAAACCCCTCTAATGTGATTTCAAACAACATTAACAAATTTAACTTTTTCTAATCTTGTGGAAATTATATAATTAATTTGTATTACTAAAGGCAAAATAAAAATGCATTTTCATTAATTTTTTATTTCATAATTCCTCCAGTTACGCTTTTCATTTGCATTTAAGAGTATGATTAATTATGCTGCTCGCAAATGCTTCAAAAGTATTAGGTGTTTGCAAAAATTTTGATCAGCGACTTTTACAGATCGAAAAGGAATGAAAATTACCAGTGTACTGAATGGTAGAATTTGATGGTTTTTACCTCACTCTCCACAAAATAACAATTTTCCATTTACAATTATTATTATTGATTTAATACGCGTACGCTGACCTCTAATCATGTAGCGCCCACAATTCCCTCAAATTCATTACTTTTGTTGTTCATTTAAAGAAATCTATCACGTATAGACTTTTTCCCTGCGGCCTTTGATCTGGTTTTTTTTGCTTTACATGGTTTTTAAAAAAAAGTCATGTACGGAGAGTGGAGAGAGCACAGAGTTGCATTCAATAAATTTCAACTTCGTTAAGCGTGAAAAGTGAAATGTACGCCAACGCACCTAGGCAAAGCGTTCCTTTCATAGACATGCTTTATCTATCTCGTAACGTTCATTCAATTAATCCAGAGGAAGGAGGTTTCAAAACTTTCTGCTGTGTATACCGGCGATATGGGCCTCAAACAAAAAAAACTTGGATAGCAGAATGCGAAAAGCTAAGCGCGTTAGTTCCAAATTAAATATCTCGAACGTCACAACGTAGTGAACTAACTAATTTTTCCGTTACAATACTATGGGTATAACATAAAAAGATTTGGAGAGTGGAATAGGAGAACCTAGACATCACAACTTAGTGGGTAGATGTTTTCTTAAGAATACCTTCGATATAGATATCAAATGAAAGGAATTAGAATGTAGAATGCGATAAAGTGCGTTAGTTATGGCTTTGGTTATGGTGGAAACTTAATGTATGAAGTCTTGGAGCGTTTAAGAAAAGCCGATTTCTTGCAAATTAAAATCTTAAGTGGACCAAGGGATTATGTGGTGGATATGACAAATTCGATTACATTGAGTTCTTACTTCTTGCATTATAAACACTTGTGGGGAAAGCAGATGGTTCTTTCGTGATCGCTAATTTTGAATGGAAGCATAGTATATTTCTTATGAGCCTTAAAGTGTGGGCCTTCTTAGCCGTGCTCGTTCGTCTCTCGCTCGTAATCGTTTGAAGGTCTGGCATACTTACTTTATTTTTTTTTTTACCACTATTTAGGACAAAATAATAGGCAAATCCTATCCAGAGCATCCTCTCAATAATTAATAAAATTTTTTACATGCCATCCTCAATACTGTTTAAAGGAATTTAAATTTTGATATTCTTCAAAATTTAAAAAAATTGCATTTAACAATAATGTTCGGTATGCTGATCGGACGCCGGAAAACATCGACAATGACACAAACGAAAACACAATAATGTTGGACCGGAAGCGTTTGTATATGCGTTTCGTACACCACTCATTGATTTGTATACATTCCGTAAGTGTAGAAGAAGAACACGGAATACTGTTTTATTACAGAGACAATTAGCGTTTGTGTATGTGTTTCTCGGAATAAAAAACGAGAGAAAAGTGAGAATTTAGCCAGGTTGATATGTTATTACCATTTGCTTTGCCTTCCTTTAAAATAAAACAATTTTTACGAATTTTTTGTTTTTTTTTTTTTTTGGTTTTTGTGTCCCACTAGTTAAACACATCTAAAGTTGTTAAGGGTCGTTTTATTAAATTTTCAAGCAAACGGGAATAAATATTTTGTCGTTATAATTGGTATACGATTTGTGATATTATGTTCGCACACTGTCAACATCTCTTTAGACTTTATTAAAATATTTAAACTTTTGTCTCAATTGGAGAAAATACAAAGGAAATTATTATGAATTATTTATTTATTATCCTTATTTATTTATATTTTTTTTGGAATAAAAACTTTTTTGATAATTTTTTTCGTCTTTTATTTTTTTTATAACTTTTAACATATTTGAGTTGTATTCAATAACTGCGTGTTCTTGTTGTTGTAATTGTAATTATTGAATGATATTCGTACCTTTTTTTTGTGTAGTTTTACTTCTTTTGTTTTTTTTTTTTCATTAAATATATATATGAAGAAAATTGTTTTTTTTTTTTTTTTTATATTTGTATTGACTTGAGAGAAAAAAATTTAAGAAACAGGCAATAAGTTTTTTTCACATATTACATGTTTTTTGTTTTTTTGTTTTTTTTTTTTTGAAGAAATAAGTAAAGTTCGTGGCCGTTCATAATCGTGGAGTCAATTTTTTTCCAAACAAAAAAAAAAGCAAATATTTTTCATTTCTTTCTTTACTTTGAGTAAACTTGAATTATCTTTTAAAAAAAAAAAGCTATTACTTGTACGCGTTTAATGTAAAAAATTATATTCAATTGATGTTTCCTTTTTAACCTCATCTTAAAGCATTTGTCTTAATTCTTAATGTGTAACATTTTACAATTTATTTATAATTATCTTCAAATTATTCTTCATTTATAAAGAAAAAAATAAATAAATAAAAAAATAAATGGATAAAAATTAAAAAATAAATAAAATAAATGGATAGAAAATTAAAAAAAAAAAAAAAAATTTATTTTTAATTTAACTAATATTAGAAAATCTCTGCAGATTTGTATTTCGTTCAATTTTTTGCTGTTTGCTCACGACAGCAAAATATTAACCGAAATTTTCTGTTAATTAAAATTTAAAAGAAAAAATGTAAAATAACATTTCAGTCATCTTAGCTTTTAAAGGGAAAAAATTAAACAATGAATATTATTTTAAGTTATTAACATTTTTTTTAAACATTTTTTTTTCTTATTATTATTATTAATATTTTCAAACGGATTTTATTCAATATATTTTTCTCTAAATTAAAACAAATGCTTTTGCAAAAAATAAAGACCATTCCTTAAAAAATGTTATTTAATTTTTCTGTATATTTTTTTTTTTATTTTTCTTTAAATAAATGTTCTCTTAATACGATATTCATATAAATATAAGAATAATTTTAATTATCCGCTGACCGTATATTATAGATAATTATTTATTGTTTAAGGGAAAATAGGGGCAAAAAACACGAACTACATCTACATTTCGTTCATATTATTGATCATTTTATATATGTATTATTATATCAATTAATTAAAGCTTCAATCATTTTCTGTAGCAACTATATAAAAATTTTAAACGTGGGATGAAAATTGCTACTTACCTAATTTAATATATTTAATAAAATTCTTAAAGAACGCAAATACGATATATAAATATTTTGTGTTTTTCTTTTCTTTTTTTTTTTTGAATATATATATAAGAATACGGAAAGTAATTGAGTTGTGAAAAAACTTCCCAAATTAAGATTTGAAATGAAATGAAAGCTAAACTAATGACTTGATTTAGAGCGTTTTGTGAATATTTTGTTTTTTTTTTTTTTTTGTGATAAATAATGCCAAGTTTTATGTATTTGTATAGGGGTTTTTAAAATTAAGAACTTTTCTTCAAAGAGGTTATATGTTTGCTTTCGTTATTGTAATGTACGAGGAGTTTAAATGTTTACTAAGTCGGTTTGGCTTGAGAATTTCCGACTGCGATAGCAGTCGAGCAAAACTTAAAATGTTTACTTCTTTTTTTTTTTTTTTAATTTTTTTTTTTTTTTTTTTGTGTGAATTCATTCAATTTTTGTTGGAGTGGCTTGCATCGTTCATATGTATCCCGTGTATTTGTTTTTTTTGTTTGTTTTTGTTTTGTTAATTAAATACGAAGCGCTTTGTAATTGATTTATTCGTTTATAAATTCCTCAGATTTAGTTTTTGTTTTGTTTAACAAACGATATATTTTGTTGCTAATATTTGTATTTATTTTCTTTATATATATGTATGCTTTTTCATAAGATTAACTTGACTTTTTCAGCGTCTTTCCAATGTTTCCTTCCTCTTCCTGTTCCTTGCATATTATTTATTATTATATTTCTTCTTTTTTTTTCATTTCTCCATTCACAAAAATACAGTTTTTCTTTTTTCTTATTATAACCATTTATTATTATTATAATTATTATTGTATAGACAAGTGTAAGTGTATATATAGGTGTAGATATATGTAGATATATCCGTAGGGTTATTTTATTAAATTGTCTCGAAATGCTTAATGTGCATATGTTGTTGTAGATCTGTCTTTGTTGTAATAATTTGGAATATTTATCGCTATTATTTTATTTTATACATATATATATTTGTGTTGTGTTTCTCTTTCATATTATCATCGTAATGGTGGTGGTTTAAGATTCAAATACTTTTAACCCTTTTTTGTCCTACATGTGTGTGTGTGTGTGTGTGTGTGTTTGTTCGGGTGTTTCTTTTTCTTTTTTTGTATGTGTGTGAAGGTCCTTTGACTTCATGTTCAAGGAGTAAGCTTTGAAATTTTTTTTTATTTTTGGTTTTTTTATTCGTTGAATCAAATCTCACACAATGCGATGCCATGCTATATATAATAAATACCCATTTTGCTCCTATGACTTCGTTGATTTACAATACACTACATGATGATTTCTCACGGAATGGATTAACTTTTTGACTGGTGAAACCAGTCAATAGATAATCCTCTTGTTCATGTTGTGTTATATAACGTATCATGGCCGCGCATGATTCGGATACCGTTTGACGATCGACAGCTGCTTCACGTCTCAATTGTTCCACAATGATACGTTGTTGTTGTAATGATGATGACACATCCATAATTGCTTTCTAATTACAAAACCTAGGGTTATAGGAATAGATGAAACGTGTGAAATTTTTTTGTTTGGAAATTATTTAATAAAGAATGCAATCTGTGTGCATCGTTTATTATTATACTCTACGTACGATGATCGTATATATTTTATATGGGTGAATCAAATCATGATTGTTTCTACTTTTATATATGTGTATATACATATACATATACGTATATATATATAGATATATATATATATATATGGATGTAAAAATATGAACCAGTCACCTTAGTTTTTTGAAATGATTTTTTTTTTTTTTTTTTAAATGAGAAAACTTTAACTCTACGAACTCAAATCAAGGATTAATTTATTTTTACAAAAAATTTTATGAAAATTATTTTCAATTATTGTGTTCGATTCCCTTATTGGTAAACAGCCCACAGTGATTGTGTGTGTGCGTGTGTGTATGTGTTGGGAAAACGGAGGCGACCTTAATTTCTTTTCGTTGTTGTTGTTGTTGTTGTTATCTTGTTGTATGAAAGAAGTGCTTCTTTTTATTTGTTTTAATTTCTAGATCTTTTTTTTTTCGCTTTATATTTCTAAAATACTAAGAAATGAATACTAAACTCTTCCGATTTTATATAGCTTACAAAATATACCGTACCGCCGTAAATGAAATTAAAAACTTTTAAAACAATATTATGGTGAGAATTATTCCCTTTTTTTTTGTTTTTTGTTTTTTTTTTTTTACTTAATCATAAAGTAAATCTAATTTTGCTTAATTTTATCTTAAATTAAATTAATTTTTGGTGTAACAGTGTAATTAAACATAATGCTAATGTTAGTAATAATGATAATGACGATGATAATGATGTCGACAATGATTAGTAATGGTTATGTTAAAGTCTCTTTGTTTTTGTGATTACTGTTGCTGTTGTTGTTTTTATTGTTGTTCTTGTTGTTGTTATTATTATTGTTAATGAAGTTTGATTGAATCTATAAGAATATTATAATCAATGATCCGTGCTGGCGGTATCGTCAATGTTGCTATCCCAATTGAATTCCGTGACACCCTGCTTATAATAAATATTGCCTAAGTTGGCGAAACGTTTCTCGAAATCGTTATCTTTAGCTTTCAATGTTTCAAATCTTTGAAATAATAAATTTTTGGCAAACGTATATAATTGAATATCTAAACTATTTAATTCTTTTATGCGTCGCTTTTGTTCGTTGCTCAGATTATGTATGGCCAAGGCGGATACAGTGGTGTTGTGCTGCTCAAAGGGTATAGCAAAACGTAAATTAAAAGTCTCTTCGAATATATATTGGGATATCTTTTGATATTCCGTCAAGCCGAAATAGGCCATTGCCGCTAAATTTCTTTTAGCACTGGCCAACATGACACGATCTCGTTCGTGGCTCGTCATCGACGATTTATTATAGCATCCCACCAATGCGAGATCGGCCAACATTCTTGTTTGCCGATTAACCGCTAAATTTGATTCACAAGCAGCGAATTCATCCAAGGTCACATCTAACCAATCTTTACCTTTATAGCAGGCTGGCAATTCATCTGCCGTAGCTTGCCTACCCAAACACCAATGACGTGAACCTTTCCATGTAGCTCCTCGTTTCACATGACGATATTCCGACATATAGCGTGCTATGGGCTCTCTGAGTAATGTTATATAAAAATATCTACGTTTAGCGGATTCTCCCTCATTTTTTTCGAGTTCCAAATCTACGCAATTTGTCAATTCAGTCCAGTCGGCATGTAAACCGCATTTCCAACCAGTGGAGTAGCGTGAGAATAGCCAATTCTCGTTGCGATGTGGACGGAAACAGTAGCAACGTTTACGTTGCCGCTGACACTCGCAGGGTCTTTTCAAATCTAGATCCCGCACTAAATGCCTTCCGAATGATGTGCCGCCAGTTTTTTGTATATGCAAGAATACCATCACGTCATGGCCATCCATATCGAATTGAAAATCATCATTCAGTACATCTTCGTAACTGAGACCAGCGTTCGCAAAGATAACATTCTGTTGTACGCTTTTCACATTTAACGTTGACGCTGAGGTGATCGATGATATCATCATCTGCTTTTCTTGCTGTTCATTTATCATATGTTGCGGTGATGGTGGTAATGGTGGTAATGGTGGTGCTGGCTGATGCTCATCCGTCCATACTGTATTGCTGTCTGAAGGCTGAGCTCGGCCATTGTATGCCAATATATCTGGTTGCAAAATCATGCTACGTTTCGTTAAAGCGCAAACCTGATCTTGGCAGAAATAACCGAACCCAATGATTCCGGCCATTGCCAAGAATAGACAGAATATGATAATTGTACGTATTTTGAATCGTGGCTCCATTTTCTTGATTTCGTATAAACCACTAGGCAGAAGTAGAGAAAAATCACCATGAACTTGCACCGAAACGTGTTTTGGCATATCCTCGACTAGTAGGCTCATCGTCCATAATAATGTGAAAACAATGTAAGTCCAACAGATGGATAAATCTGTACAACTTTTTCTATAAATTTACAAAATATCGAAGAGCAAATATTTAACCCAACACAAGAGAAAGAAACAGATATGAATATTGGTTTTATAACTTAAAGCAAGGTATCAGAAGGATATTCTTTCCCACATAACACAACCCTTCATAACCCACATTGCGTGTAGCGTTATATGACAACATATTAAAAACATTGTTTATATTTATGTATGAAATTTAGTAAAAAATTAGCGTACAATCCAATGTTCAAGCAATGCTGATTGAAGAAGAAGAGTCAAAACACTTATGCTAACACAGATAAGGGATAACACTAAATAGAAGAGACATTATAATTGGCTTAGATTAGTCATTTCATTACCCACCACTAATTAATCTCTTTTCTTCTTCTTCTCTTTTTCGTACTTTTAAATAAATAGATTTCGTAACTAAACTATTATTAGATTATTGTTGTTCTCAATATTCTTCCAAAAGGAGGTTGGATATCCAGCGTCTCATGAAAATATGTAGTAGAAAGCTTTCGCTGACTTTGATATTTAAATTCGTTATGTTAACGAATATTTTTCTGTGGGCTTGAGATTAATTTCTTGCTTCCATGGATGACTGGCAATGTTCTTACATTATCAGCTTTTTGATTCAAAGACACATGGACAGACGAAATAATTATAACCTGAATCGGTCAATGGTAAGCGCAACAGTTGTAACAATTTACCTTAAAATCTAATGTGGAGGTGGAAAAAGTTAGGAAATCGTAATCATTTTTCAACATATAGATCTACATATATACACGATAGGTATATATGGATAGAGGTGGTCAATCTTGTTTCCCACGCATGGAAGATATACACATGCTATGTGGGTTTTGAAGCGCAATTGCGAACATTTGGCGACTGTAATGTACTCCCTATAATCGCCATATTTAAAAAGCGCTTTAAAGATCTGAAAGAAAGTCTTTGCATTCGTACAGAAGCTAACGTTCAGGACATTGTGTCCTGTGAGTTCCTCTAAAAATGTTTAAGCTCGTTCTCATTCTTGTTGGTCTGAAGTTCCTATTCACATATCAGTGCTAAAATCAATTTTTGCTAGAAACAGTGTTGCAATCGATAGAATCGATGGTTGTACTACATTAAAAAAACCACTACGCAAGCACGTCTGTCACACAGGAAAATATGAAAGCACAACAAATAATAGAGCCTTGAAGCAAGTTTCAACAATGGACAGGTCAATCAACTGAATTGATTTTGTCACGCCAATGCAAGAGTATTCATTCTCTAAATGGTGGCTGTCAGACTATTTGCTTTTTGTTTTTGCAATAAACAATTAAACAATTGTGTGGCACTAAAATACAAAAAAAATACATTATAAATCAATAAAATTTATATTATTTGAGATTTTACGTTGTCTCTTTTGGACGTCAGCTCCAGCTAGTATTAGGTGTAAACGTGGCAAGTTTCACAAATTTGGGAAAATCCTTGATGCGTATTACTAGTTTGTACATAGGAGATCATAGCAGTTAGCATGCAACTATTCTTAGACGACAAGTATAAGGATAACTTTAACTTATATATATACATATATATTGGATAAGAGAAGGCGTGTTGTGTTTGATTTATACGGAATGAAGATTTAATTATAAATTAATGCCGAATTCATATACGCTTGAGACGGCATTTTAGGCAATTTTAAGATATTAGAGGGCCGTGCCTTGTAGACCTTTAGAAAATTGGACTTGGATGTATAAAATACCAGCTTAGAGGTCCAAGGGAAAACTTGAGATTATAATTTAAGTTACCGCATTTTTCGGACTATGAAAAAAATTATCTCAAATTTTGGGTAGGTGTTATGGTCCGAGAATAATATTAAAATATTTTTTCTATAAATCGTCTCTAAATTTAAGGGTGATAGTATCGAGAGTGATGATGAACTGAACATTGCTAGTACGAGCTATGTTAACAATAAGTAAAAATTTTAATTCGAAAGTAATATTAAAATTATATATTTTCTGAAAACCATCTTATATATTTGAAGTGCGTCTTATCGTCCAGTGCGTCTTCTAGTCCCAAAAAAATACCACAATCTGAGTGTAAATCAGAAGTTGATGTCGTAATCGTAATTTAAGCAACGAGACAAACTCTCAAGCGCTTATTTAATTGCATTTCAGGCATAATTCATTTCAGAGTACTTTCTTGGGAAAAAAACATATGGAAGTTTGGAAGATGGGCAACGAACGAATTCTTAAAGAGATGCATAATTGAAATTTGAAGAGAAAATTTTAACAAAACTTAAAAGGAAATAATTAATTGACTGAGGGCTTTTTCCAAAATTACTCTAACTAGGGTTACTTCTTAATTGAGGTCGCCTTTAAGTTACGTCCTGTTTGTCATGTTCAAGTCGTTAAAATGTTAGCTTCTTAAGAAACAGGAATTGCCTGACGGCAATAATTTTCTATAATTTTCAACTATAGCCCATTCTTTTTCGACTCCAGTATTTCTCTAGAAAATTCCAATTAACTGTAAAACACAAAAAAAAAAAAAAACTGCCACCGACGGCAGTCGATTATATTGAATTGCCTGTCAAATTTTATCACACTATTTAACAACGCTCTTACTTAGAGTAGAATAGAATTTACGGCCTCCTTCAGGAGGCCTCCTCTGAGGGAGTAATCAAATACGAAAAGTTCAACTTTCAATTATGTAATTATTTCCACAAACTATCAACAAAAAAAAAAGTGTACTTAACTTACAAACAATATAATTTTTCAGACTTCTAACTGTTATTTACTGTAAATAAAAGAGACGCCAAAGAGTCGTAACTATCGGATTCGTTGTTTCGGAAAGAAAATGAACTTATCAAGAACACCTTGCATGATGTCCAATTTTCGCATGACATTGCTTAAAAACAAGTAAGAACATTATAGTAGAGCAGCGCCAGCCACTATATACCCTATAGAGCAATTATTCGTTCGTTTAGGTAACAATACATCAAAAAGTACACATTACTTTCATGCAAAGTCCGCATCTCTCGGTATAAGACTTTGCGTTTCGTGATGGCGCCCATATAAGTGGTGTTCCAAAAAACAACATAGCCCTTCGTGATGCAAATTCCCTATGGTTAATATTTTTAACTGAAACACTCCTACGAATTATTAAGATAACATAAGATATCTTATATGGTATGGGGCCAAGAATTAGATCCATGTGGTTGAAATTAAGTTCACTTAATTTTTTTTATTTAATTACCATCGTGAACAAATTTTCATCACAAAAAAATTAACAATTACGTTTTTTTGGCATATATGTTTTTTTGGTTTCATGAGAATACTTATATGCAGTGGTATCCAAAAAATAGACCTATGTGTTCCAAATTCGGTAAAGTAGATTTTCGATTTACTACTATGAGCCAATTTTCACCATGAAATATTGGAAATTCAACATTTTTACGCTATAAAGCATTAGTTTTCATAGGTGTGGTTATATGAGAGGGGGTTCAAAAACTTGCCCATGTTGGTCCAAAGTTTTCACACCAAATTCCGAAACCCTACGAATGGGGTGTCGTCGGAAAAATCGACCGATTCGAACCATTTTCAATTTTGGTGTTTTATTATTAAAACGAGCGAATGACTGTACAAGGCGAATTGGTGTGGGATATGTAATAATCGGCGTTGCCCAGCTATAATGTTCTTACTTGCTTTATCTAAAAGTAAAATATCGCATATATAGAATAACATAATTTAAGTTTATATATGATATAAAGCAAAAAAACCGTACCGTCATGTATCGAAAGCCCATTCGAGTGGTATCGAAACAATGTTATAAGATACCTTGAAGTAATGTAAATTAATGCAATGCGCGCACCATTTTGTATAGACACCAAGCCTTAAGATATAAACTTTTGCGAAAAAAAGTTTGTTATGAAATGTCGTTCGAAATGTACATGTAAATGGAAAAGTAACTTCGAGTTTTTATAAAAAAAAAGTGTGAAATTCAACATTACGATGAAATACAAAATTAAATATATATTCAAAAAATAATGAAATCACAAAATTAATTTTCATTAAAAATTACAGTTAATCTATTTATTTTTGTTTCTCATTGTTCTTTGAAACTCCTCGTATTAACGATAAAATCGAAATAGAAGCCAATACTTGATTTTTTGAAATCATATTGTATCGCAACCGTATTATAATATTCGCCAATTTTGTTACGTATTATATCGACACCGTGCTACACAAATGTGATAAGCGAGAGACGTCTATGCAATAGTATAACTTTATATGTAAGTTTAAATTAGAAAATGCCAACTTCGACTACTTCTGTTTTATTACTATTCGTTTGATGCTTTGAGCAGCAACAACAGTTCAAAAAGAGTTCAACGACTGACGACAAAAGAACATATCTCGCAACTTTAATGCTCGATACGAATTACATTTACAAGAGTCCCCCTCCAGCTTATTAGCTATTAATCCGGAAACTAAATTTAGCGACATACCAGCTTAGTTTGAAGCAATGTCTTGCGCGTTAATTCTACATTATTCACTAATTAAGTGCAATGCGAACGTTTGCAATTTGTTTATTCTTTTAAATGCTATTGTGTGTGGTGTGAAACCGTTAATTAACCCACTGGAGAGCCTGTTGTGTTGTCAGCCTTTTTCCTTTTTTTTTTTTGTTCTGACCGCATGTGAAACAATGTAAAAATTTCAACAACAGCACTTATACAACAACAGTAGCAGAAGGTCATACCAAATTTGGTATTACCGTATTATACCCATACTTACAAATGCATGAAATACCAAAAAAAAAAAAAGAAAAGAAAAACTTGCATTGCCTCTTTTTTTGTTAAAACAAAGGAAAATAAAATAAAATAGCTTAACTAGGTTTTTCATAAACTTTCCCTTACCCTATACAACAAATACAAAAAAATCGATTTTTGAATGTAAATTTTTCTTCATGTTGGTGTTTGTAAACATAAAAATAGCGATTCATTTATCTGCTTGTTTAATAAAACTATTTTAATGATGTCGTTAGGGCGGTAGGGCAATCACATAACAGATCATATAAACTTACAAGAAGAGAAAATTTTTCTACTGTGATGTTGAGGAATAGTATAAGGAAGTTGCGATGATAGGAAATAGTGTATAAGTTAAGCAGCAAATGGGAAAGGGGTGCTTCACCAAACAATTAATTTCAGACTAAAAGTTGTCAAGTAGAGAAATATGGAAAAAATGCGTTTTTCACCAGAACTACCACTAATTAGAAGATATTTTTTAAGAAAGAAAAAAAGTTTTTTTTAGTGAGAGATTGCTATACATACACATAAATTATAAACATACGTTAATATTTTTCTTTATTGTTTTACTAGTTCTGAAGACAGTGAAGGATGATTGTGTTCTTAAATTTATTGACTTTATATATAGCTTTTTTTTTCTAAAATTACTTTTTTGCTTACAGATTTTTTCCTTTGCAATTTTCCGAAACACGCCCAAAAAATTCTCCGCACCAGACAAGCACTAATCAAACGCGTAAACACACTCGCACACACACTTTACTAATTCTCTTTTAATAATTTAATAACTACTACCAGAGTTGCCGTTCTGCAGAAATGATAAATTAAGTAAAAAATTTGGAATTTTTAAATAGAAACACGGTAACCATGTACTTAAATAGTTTTTATTTTGCTTAAAGTACCATTAGATGGCGCTTTTTATCATATTTTTATTTCTTGTTTTGTATAAATTTCATATTATAGTACTTATTTATTTATTTAATTTAATTCTACTTATACATGAAACTCGACTAAACAAATAACAGTCGAGTTCAATTGGCACTTAAAGCAAAATTTATATTAAATTAATAATAAAACTTAGTATAAGTACAATAAAACAAATAAGACGGAAAAAAAAAGAAAAAAAAGCATGTACACAACCAGCATAGAGCCACACAACAAGTACAAGCCATACAACCGGTACAGGACCAAATTGCAAATGAACCCCTAAGCCATCGCAAACATGCATAAGCCTGGCAACCGATAATACTTAACAACAATTCATTTTCCAATCGAATTTTAAGGATAAAAGCTAGTTTAAGTAAGACATGGGTAAATCGCGCATATTAAGCAATGTTGCTTTAATGGACTTTAAAGAGTCCGGTAGCGAGAATAAGAGATAGACGTCATTTAGGTTCTTGCAAGCTACTCTGAGCGGATTAAACAGCTCATAATTATATTTACACTGACTAAGCTTAACCAAGATAAAGGGCCTAGGGAAGCGGTTAGGGACATTAAAGCTTATTTCACCAAGTAATAAAGACGAGTATATAGCACCATTTATTACTTTGATTACAAAAGAAACGCCAAGAACAAACCTACGCTTCTCAAGAGACGGTAAGGACAGCAGAAGCAACCTATTTTCATATGGAGGAAGAGAGGCAATCGGATCCCCACCCAAATGTCTAAGGGCAAACAGCAAGAATTGCTTTTGAACAGATTCAATTGAATCTACATGAAGGGGGCCAAACAGCAGAGGCATACTCGAGTATGGGTCTAACCAAACACATATACAGCCTTTTCGTAATGTAGGGATCATAAAGCTCTTTGGACCACCTCCTTATAAAACCAAGCGCGGACCTAGCTTTACTTATCGAGAGCTCAATATGCAAGTTGAAACGTAACCTACGGTCAAATAGAACGCCGAAATCTGTGATCGAATCGATGTCCTCCAACGTATGCGAATCTATGAAATACTGAGTAATGAATGACTGTCTTCTTGAGAAAGAAAGCGTCTTACATTAATGTGATTGGGATTCAACAGCGAAGGAGGAAAACAGTTTCACATCATCAGCATACATTAAGATCTGGCTGGAATTAACCACCGATGGAAGATCGTTAACGTATAAATTAAATAAAATGGGATCTAAGTGACTTCCTTGAGGTACGCCAGATATAACGGGGAATTCATCCGAGGTGATAAAGTTGAACAAAACCTTGAAGGAGCTGTTGTGCAGATAAGAGCTTATCCATTTCACTAAATGCCAGAGGCTTGGAGTTTAAAGATAAGTAAGTTATGGTTAACCATATCAAACGCTTTGCTTAAATCAGTGTATATCACATCTGTACGAGAGCCACTAGAAAAAGCCTTGAAAACATGACAAGTAAACTCTAACAAGTTAGTGACTGTAGATCGCCCTTTCCGAAAGCCGTGCTAGTGTGGAGAAATATACGAATTAGTGCCAAAAGCCAAACTCTGAGTCACAATACGCTCGAACGACTTGGGCAAGACACTCAACTTGGCTGTGCCTCCGTAGCTCTCAACAAATTGTCTACTTCCACTTTTGTGGATAGGAACAAGGAAACTACTCTTCCAACATGAAGGGAAAACACCTAAATACAAGGACATGTTAAAAATCTTTGAGATCACACCACATAACTCGACAGCGCAAGATTTAAGTACACATGATGGAATTTCATCAGGTCCAGGCGAGCAACTGTATTTTAGAGAACTCAACTCTTTAAAAACGTCATCTTCCGAAATTACCAATTTAGGAATTGAGACAGAGTTAGTTATTTATAGGATATGGGTAGTTTGATGATAAATCGATATTAGCAATCGAAAAGTTTCGTCGGAAATACTCAGCAAACAGATTTGAGATTACAAAATCACCCGAGGAATCAGAGCCATTAAAAGAAACATGAGAGGGATATGTGGAAATTTTTCTTTTTGAGTTAACAAATTTAAAAAAGTATTTAGGATTAGCAAACAGAGAGGATTTAATGAACTGAAGGTGTCTGCAGTAATAATGGTTATTGAGGGAGTTAAATCTATGCCTCGGCACCGAGTAAGCTAAATAGTCGAGCGCAGAACCACTTTTCGAATATTTTTTGAATAGCGTGTTTTTTCTATTCTTGTAATATTTAATTGTCTTTTTAACCAGGGGGACACCTGCTTCGAGGTCGGCACTGCTTGATCGGAGTAGATGCAGCAATAGCTAGATTTAAGGTATTGTTGAACGATGACAATCACTGTTAAACCAAGTGACTTGAGGCAAGTTGACATCACCCAATGCAACGACCAAATCGTTAAGTCTAGACCGCTTGGCCACTTCACAAATGAAGACAGCGTGTTTCTTGTAAATGGAGATATCAGAATTTGGGGGAATATAGGAGCAGGTTACAAATAGCTGTTTATTAGGCATTATCGCACGAATGGCGATAAATTCAACGTCAGGAGAAGAGGAAAATTCTATTGAATTGGACGGGACTGACGCAGATATGGCAATTAATTAATACACTACCACTAATGCCATTCACTCGATCATTTCTGTAAACTTGGAAAGAATTGTGAAAAAGTTCCGACGAATGAAGATCGGGTTTTAGCCAAGTTTCGGTGAAGGTCAAACAGAAAAACTCCGTGCTCACTGAATTTAGAAAAGTAGAACGAATTTTTGAATTAAGACCCCTTACATTTTGATAAATGAGAGATAATGGGCCTGAAGAAACATTTAGTTTTTTGAAGGCGACAAGACTATTGCTTTGGTATTACGGGGACGATCTCAAGGGATAAATTCCTTAATCAAGGATCCTACTGTGGCCACAGTGGTTTTTTTAACAACATATCACTGTTTTCAGACGGAACTAGTATTTTAAAAGAGGAGATTGCCCTAGATTGAGAAGGAGCCATTTTGAAAATGCTAACGCACTTTAAGTTGACTGATGGGACTTTCGCCGCCAGATAACTTTTTATGTTATCCACCGATGTTTCAGGTGCCAATCTTGACACAAATATTGCTTTTCTGGGAGGAACTGCCGTCAAGGAAATATCATTAGTTGGAACAGGAAGGTTCGCGGTTGGGGACTTTAGAGTTGGGGAGAATATAGATGGCGTTATCGCCCTTGCACCAGCAGCTTGCGCGACTTGCCCGGTCTTGTGACCAGAGTTCACATTCGAACAGCCAGGGAGAGAGGATGATTTATTTTCCTCTTTATTATTTTTAGGCGATGGCGCTTGATTAGAGTGAGTGGCGGCCCTGGGCGGAGACACCGTTGCCACTTCAGCGTAGCTTAAAACGGAAGGATTTGCCGGCTTGTTTGTAACTACTTTGTTACCAAGCGACTCGACAATATCGGAAACATTAACGTTCACATTAGAGTTAGAGGGAGCGGTAACTTATACCAACGAATCAGATTTAGAGGAACTCAGAGGTGACGTCCCACACGCTACGCTACGAGTAGTTATTTTTCTGGTTTTGGTAGAAGATGAGTGCTCAATAAAACGGCACTCATCAAACCTAGACTTAATTAGCTCAAACATCTCCCACAAGGAGCCGTGATTTCTACTCAATTCCGAGAAACCATTTCGCGTCTCCGTGAAAAGTTTGTAGAAATCAATGCCCCGCTGCCCACAGTCAGGACATGACCATCTTAAGCCTTTGGAAGGGTCAGTGACTACGTCAGCAGCACGGCCGATAATACCGGCACATTTTGCATGACCAAAGCGCTCGCAGAGCCAACAAGAAACGAATCTATCCGATTCCGGGCCTATTTTTGCGGGACATGGTGTATATAAGCACTCCATGTCAAGCCAACGAAAAGAAACAAGTGAATTATTAGGAAAGAAAAAAAGTCAAAAGAATCCACTACTCTAAGTTTATCTACAAATTTAAGAAATTTAATAAAACTTCTCCGTTACGTTGTCACAAGAGAGAAAAAGAACAAGAGAAAGCAAAACCAAACTGGAAGCCCGAAAAAAGAGAGAATACAAATAAGAAAAATTTTCTCTTAAATTTTTTCTTAAATTACACGTAAGATCTAAACTACTAAAGCAACGGTAAACAGCCAAGAGAAAAGCTATTCACACCAAAGGAAGAAAATAAAAAAAAAAATAAAAAAGAAAAAACTAGATAAGACTCGAGAGAGATTTACATTTGCGATCACAAGTGCTAATCGCAAGAACCAAAATGAAAATCACAAAAATTTTAATGTAATTAATAAATTTTTACACTTTACACGTTCAAAGCTTTTATACATTTACATAAACCCAGTTTTAAACACGTATAAAACGAAAACATAAAAAATTTTAGTAATAAAACTAACAAAAGCGTACGATCTCGCGCGCGTCAGTTGCCAGACTTGACTTATTGATAATAATAATTATATAACAAAAATTAACCCTAAATTTATTAAAGTTCAGGCAAAAAACATTGTACAAAAGCGAATTTTCGGTTGTTGATTTATTGAATAGAAAAATAAGAAGAAGAAATATTGTTTTCATGTACTCTCGTAATTTTGCAAACGTTTCCAGCCTTTTTCATTCTGCAACGTATTTAAATGCTTATTGCTCACATAAATATTTAAAAATGATTTCGTTGGAAAGTGTTATAGAAAACAACAATAAGAGTATGAAATTAGTGGATGCTTTAAAATCCGAGGTTTGGAGATTGTAATAAATGAATATCTAGGTTAAGATTTGCTGAACATATTTCTGCTATTCCATAGTTAACAGCCATTCAAGCCGAGCTTCTAAATCGAAAGAAAAGCGAGCTTAGGGGAGAAAACGCCCGCTTGCAAAAACAGGTGGAATCGGTTAAAGCTGAGTTGATTGCTTTGGAATGCAGAAATGGCAAAAAGCAAATTCCCCTGCCCGGAACACGTAGTTTAAATACCGCATCTTGTGATGATAGCACAGATAATCAGCCACAACAATTTCAAAAAAAGGAAAACGAAAAAACAAAATTGGAAAAAGGGAAAAAGGTAACAAAGGAGAAAACCCAGGAAAAAACAAAAAATGCGGCAATAATTGAAGTGCCTGTAGATGTGAGACGTTTAGATTTACGTATAGGTAAGATTGTAGAAGTTTCGCGTCACCCCGACGCTGATAGCTTATACGTAGAAAAAATCGATTGTGGAGAATCGCAAGCACGCACAGTTATCTCAGGTTTGGTCAAGTTTGTGCCTTTGGAAGAAATGGAAAATCGTTTGGTCGTTGTATTATGCAATCTGAAACCAGTTAAAATGCGAGGAATTCTTTCAGAAGGCATGGTTATGTGTGCCTCCAGCACAGATAAAATTGAAGTGCTAAGTCCGCCTGAAAATGCTATGCCTGGCGATCTGGTGCACTGCGAGGGATTTCCAAGAGAACCCGATGCGCAACTAAACCCCAAAAAGAAAATCTTTGAAACATGTGCTCCAGATTTAAAAACCAATGACTCTTTAGTGGCTTGTTTCAAAGGCTCCCCCCTGCATGTACCAGGGAAAGGCCAGATACTCGCCCAAACTTTAAAAAATGTTCAAGTCAAATAAGTTTATTTGCTAAATTTTCAAATTTTTGTTTTATTTGATTTTTATATACAATAAAGAAACAACTCTTCTGCTTCAAGCATGTTAGTTTTAATAAGAACATCAATGGACCTGTTCCATGGCAACAAAAAACTAGTTTTAACGTAAGTCTCTTCTAAGAAGGGGTTGTTCGGAAGGTTTCTCAACCACTATAGTTTTAGTCATAACGTCGTAAGCCGTGCGATTACTTTTAAAGAAAATCATCAAGAAGCACACGGGGAATAGCAAACTAATAATCATGTTTTTTGCCACTGCTCGCATAAACGCACGCCAAAAGCCTAGCGTTTCAGCTGGGAAGAGTAATGCGCGCATTTGCACACGAGCCTGTGGAAAGGCCAGTTGCAATGGTAGTCCGATGTTCGCTTGTTGTTGTTGCTGTTGTTGTTGAAGTGGATACGTTGCTTCCACATACTTAATGCTTAAACCCATTACAATTTTCCCTGGAGTTGCTCCATTTGGCAAAGCCGTCCATATGGCTTCATACAAACAAACAAATATTTTTGTAAATGCTTCCAATAACAGCAGATCTGAAGAAAAGGCTAAAAAATCCATAAAGAATACAAAGAAACCAGCAAAGTCTTCCTTTTCTACAGCGTCATTGAAAATATTTTTATCCAACTCAAACATCATTTGCAAATCGAAGACATTCATCGCCACAAAAATTATGCTGATTTTAAACATCAACAATATCGCAATATCTATGATTTCTGCAATGGCACGTTTCCAAAAGGGTGCGATAATATATTCATAGCCTCCCGTAAGATTAATAAGTTCTATTTGAGACTGATCGCTCAGAATACGCAAACCAACATTTCCCATACGGCCCATTATGTTAGCGACAGCTGCCTGATTAACGTTTTGATTTGAATTCCCTTGATTTGATGAAGATTGTGATGGTTGCTGTTGCTGCGTTGTTGTTGTCGCGACTGTTGGAAAATTCCAAAGCGTTGCAAGCGCTGTGTGCTGCTGAAACACTTGAGGGTAAGTGCTCATTAGATACCATGGAAACAAAGCCATGGCGTTTTGTGAGATATTAGCGTGCTTTACCCATTCATTCAGACTAGCGAAATAGGCTTCCTTAGTAGAGATTTCCTTTTTGGGCATTCCATTCGCGGATTCCGCCGATTGCACTGTATCTTTGGCATCTTTTAAATTATCCACAACTTTGTTTTTGTCCATTTTTACTATTATTTTTAAAATTTATAGCCTTTCGCTTTATTCATTAGTTTAGTTTTTATATGAAGCACACGTATGTTAATCTATTTAGCATTATTTTCTTAAACAAAAAAGTGAACAAAGGAAAGCAACATAACTCTATTTTTTTTCTCTCTCTCTCTCTCTCTCTCTCTCCTATAAAATTTTAGATATATTTTTTACGCGAAATGTTTTACACAGATAGAAATAAGAACATTTTAAGAAGACAAGGAGGTGACTTAAATAAATTAAGCTTTTAACTAAGCGAAGCAAGGCTTTTATCCAAAACTCTTCTTTTGAAAACTGACAGTTAAAAAAATCTGCACCAGATTGACGCTTTATTCGATGCGCTAAAAATAAGCGCAATTGTTTATACAAGCGTCCACTACATTCCAAACATTTTTATGGAGGCTTATTTCAAAAGTACAAAAATATCATTTTCTATCCAAACATTGCACCCATGTCCCGTTTTCAGCGAACAAGATTTGGAATATTAATATAATTTTCAAATTTAAGATATTTTAAGAATTTAATATTTAATGTCAATTTTTTGTTATATATTTTTTGAGCATTTATACTAAATCAGTTCACAAGATGTACTGAAATAAATAATGCTTTTAAAATATACTATGCTTTTAAAGAAATATTGTTTTGTAATAAATGAAATACTTAAACTATATTCACGATCATATTCTATAGAATTTTACATTCAATCTGTAAAAAATTCGAAATATGTAGTTGTAAAAGATAGGAATCTTTTCATTCGACACTAATATCAAGAGAAAGATAATCGCCAACTTCCGTCATGTCATTGGTCCACCACATTCGATGTAGCATTTTTTTTTGTCGCAATTCTATTCTTTAAGCCGTGTTTAATTTAGATTTAACACCTGTAGCGTTTCGTAATGCTATCAACCTTGCTGCCGAAACCTAGCTCTTTTATGACGTCTGTCATGCCCTTCAATCTTACCAAAACAAATGCACTTTATTTTGCAAAAGGATCAAAGAATGTTGTTAATATTGGCATTAAATTTACACTGGTGAACCAACAAACATCGCCTAAATTGCTTGCCAGGATTATTATTTCAAGTCTAACTTTTCAAGGACATTACTTGGAACCCTTTACGGATGCTCAATCTGCAGTTTTCAAACCGGGCTTTTTCGAAGCTTTGACTGTTTACACATCTTTGTCCATTCCATAACGCGCAACTTCCTAGACTATATATTCAAAAAAATGCAGACATCTGTAACTTCCGAAATGAAAACAATTCGGTATCAGTTTTTAAACAAAGCTAAATTAATTTTAAAAATTAAAAGAAAGGAAAAATTAGTTTTAATGCAAAGGGCAAGAAAAACAAAAAATACAAGTAAGCAAATTATATTCGCGTTCATGGTTGTAATCCAAACGTCTTCACTTAAATAAGCAACTACACCTAGGTTTGAAGATATCGAAGTAGGACCGGGTCATTATTATCCCTAAATGGTTCAGCAATCTAATGAAAAACAACTTTTTTTATCCTCCTACATTTGCAATTTTTCCACAATATCAAATAAAAAAATTGCAATTATTTTTTTTCTAATTTCTTATATACTTTTCTTTTAGGTCTTTAAATTTTTCAAAATTTTTTCGTTACACTGTGACACTACGCTCCGTTTTTGTACTCTCCACATTTATTCTTAGAATCCAAAATACCAAAAAAGCATTAAAAGATAACAAGAACAGCTGTTCAGCAACATATGGTTTCTGATCTGTCAGTGTTAGCACGCAAAGTAAGGCCGTTAAATTCAAGCAACAAACATATAATAAACACGAAATTCAGGTTCAGATAAGGAAATCAATAAATATTACAAATGCAATTTTGGCCAACACAAAAGGGCGGGTTTATTTTTTTTGAATATTACTTGGCCATAATTGAATCGAATTCGGTAACTATAGAAAATAATTAATATTACATAAACAATAATACATCAGAATTATTCATACATCTGTCTTTAAAATAGTATTAATTACATTGTAGCCTGAGCCGATGTTGCTAGTGCTCAATGTCTTTTTTTTTAGTCTAAGAATTCAATTCATTAGTCTAAAATTAAAATAATAATAATAATGCATTGTAGCCTAGTTAAGTATCTTAAATTTAAGTTTCCATATGATTTTCTTTTAACAACGCACGCAAGTTATTGAAATTTGTACGACAAGCACGCGTAGCATATTGGTATTATTAAAATTATTAATATTATAATAAATCCAACAATATCTTTATATGTGAAATAAGGATGGAACGGACTTTTATCAACATTTCATTTTAACGATTATTAGACCCAGTTTCATGTAAAAATATTAAATGAATTATTGTTATAGCTAAAACAATAAAAGGTAAAATAAAATGGAAAGTAAAAAATCGAGTAAGAGTTGCGTTATTAATCGGGCTCTGGTTGGTCGCCAGTTAGTTTTGTTTTGCCGACGGCTTTTGTTAATTTGGTTTGTTAGATAATTTGGTCCGTTAGATAGTTTGGTCCGTTAACATTTAAGTTGTTAGTTGGTTAGTTCTCTTCGGAAAAATTACGATTAAATCACGTATTTCGTACTATAGTAATTAAAAGTAGTCCTGACACAATCAATTTTTTGCTTTTCTTCTGAAGATTTGAACATATAAGCCATAAACCTTTAGTCCATGCTTACTTTCTATATATAAAAAAAAAAAAGATATGTTCAGGACATTAATTCATTTAATTTCTATGTATAACAACTCCTGGTAAAGGGAAAATAGATATAGGGATATAATTTGCGTTTGAATATAAGTATTTCCTCTATTGTAACAACCTGTTTTAACGACGGCAATTTGCATTTTTCATTTTGCAATGCCGACGGCAATTCGCATTTTGCAATGAATTTTAACAGAATACGTGAAACATAAAGCTGGCGGCTTTGCAAATTAAACCATCTGGCAATTTAAATTGTTAGTTGGGCACTCAACCATTTTTGGCAATTTTTTTATTTATTATAAGCGACTCTGTGCTTTGCCTTTCAACAGAGAATTTAGCAAGGACGTTGTTTAATTTGATAATAAAAAATTATGCGAATCAGCAACGTAGTTTCGGAAATATTTTATTAAGAATGTAAAATCTTTCTTTTATCTTCAAAGAAACTTTTTATTACATCTGTAAATAGGATATTACACAAGTCAAAAGTAGAGGACTCAACAACGTAACAAAGTAAAGAATATTTACTTTCCTTTTAAACATTTCTTTTGTTCTAAAAATGTTATACGAACAAATTCGCCCTATCGTAACGACTGCCGATATCTGGTAATATGATTAAACTTGTGAAAGACAGCCATCAGTTTTTGTGGAAGGTATGTGTCTCCAGATCAAGTGTAACTTTTATTGAACTCCATTACATCTCTGTTTTATTGTTAGCATACGCTGTTATTATTTAATGAATCTATTTTTTCATGACAAAATTTTAAATGTCATCATTTTTGATATTCATAATCGGACATATAAGCCATAAATCTATTGGCTTAGTCCATATCTGTTCAACATACCAAAAAAAACAAAGATATTCACAATCTGAAGCGATCAGAATAATAAAAGTGCCCGCCTGTCTGTCTTCTTTGTCTGCGTTTAACCTAAAGGCTACGATTTTTGAAATATTTTGATGACATGTGGTACACTAACGTATTTTGATCCAAGAACGAACACTATAAAGATGGTTCAGATCGGGCGTGCAGCCCGAAATGCATTCCAACAATTTCCCACGTATCGTCCGTTATGATTTGCGAGCCTATAGTGGGAAACAAATGGCATTTTTATTTTGATAATTAACAGATAATTTATCATTTGCTATAAAATCCTGCGATAATTTATTTCAAAGCAAGTTTGCAATGTATCTCATATTCAACAAGTAAGAAAATTATACGGAATCTTCCTTGCTTACCACATCTGCCTTTAAAAAACCAACTTAGTTTAGTTTATTAATTATTAATAATAATTATTTATGATAATGTGAAATAATAATTATTATTAAAATTAATATTAAGGTGCCAATAAGACGGTAGTCCCTTGCGGCACCGTTACGAATAACGATAGCATAGCGATATGGATAATAACTATGTTGTACAATATTAGATTAGAGGCAGGGACACAGACACAGTCATAAATAAAGCGTTTAAAAAGAACGGAATGATCTGCGTAGCCGACCTTTTCCCATTTTTCCTAAGGTATTGGAGAACAACCCGCTGAACATAGTTGGAAAGTTTTGTTGTTGTACATGTTATAATTTATAAGTAATGAGTCAAAACTGCAATTTCTCTATTTTTGAAAGCACAAGTGTTGTGGGCTTCAATTGTACTCAAGGCATTCTTCTTCAAGTAAATTAATCGATTTTTCATATCAATCCACATGCAAAAATTTCCATTGCTTTAGCGTTATTTGAACCCTAACTGTTAATGTTAATTTTTGGCAACAAGAGAATGTTTTACCGTACATGTCCACCCAAACGGAGGGACGGTAATGGTTGAGAATTTATATTCTTTGTAGAATTCGTAAATGTTCTTTCTGGATGTTGCAAGCCCTATTTCTCGATGGCAGCTAAAAAAACAATGTTTGCAATTAAGTGGTATATAATTCACTGCACTTACGAACGATTCCAATGGCAAATTTTCCACAAGCTACAAAATATCTCTAAAGTAGTTTAAATTATTATTTTCTACATTAATCAACTTAAAAAAGTATGTAACCATGATCCGTTTCATTGGATTTTCTTTTTTGGTTCCTAGTTTCTTCTCACTTCTAATCAAATAAACGTACATTTAAGCTTTGTCATTATTTATTAAAATTAAAACAGCTTTATAGAGATTTTTTGTTTTTGCTTTTAAAAGTTTAGCTTTTGAAGAGTTGTTTAGAACTACTTTTTATTTTCTATACGTAAAGGGATATCCGCTTTTAACCTGTAATTAAGTTATTGGCATTCTTTGCTTGATTAAAATATTCTTGCGAACAGTGGAAACGAATCTTTATACTTTCTTAAAGAAATATTAAAATCGCCACGTTGCGGGCTTAAGTCTTCAAAAGTTAACTTTTAAATACTTGCGAATGTAAGAGAGAAGGAAATGCATGTAAACACTAAAAAAATTAAATAGAGAGTACCTTAGGAAAGTCAAGATATCGAAAAATCTAAGATCACTTACAAAAGGAAAGCGTTAGACACAAGCAAAAGGCAAGTTGTTTTTGTTTTAAATTGAGAACGTACTTTAAACAACATTAAGTTTATTGCCAAACATTACCTATATTGAGATTGCCAAATTGTTGTGGCAAATTGGCGGTGGCTGGTGCATTAACGGTTGATGGGTTGTTAGATGCCAAAGAGCTGCTTGAGTATGCACCAATTAGCCCCTGATTGAAAGCAGACTGAGCTTGGAGGCCTGGAAAAACCATGGCTGTGTTTAACGCTGGATTCGTTGTCATAATGTTGCCCGGCTGGCCTGAGGCTAAACTTTGAGTTTGAGAATAACTGGTTTGTAAAGGAAACGGGGTTGTTGAGAAACCAACTGAGTTAACTCCCATAAGACTTGTACCGGGCATAAGGCCCATACCTGGTGCTGCTGTAAAAGCTGTTGGTGCTGTCATAACAGGTGCGTTGTACATGCTTGCCGAATTTGGAGGTGTCATGAATTGCTGTTGCTGAGGCACCACCGCTGGGCCCCCGGCGCCCATATAGCTTCCTGGCGTTAAACCTGTGAAACCGCCTCCAGGAGCAAATAGGGCTGCAGCTTGCACTACTTGTGGTTGTTGTATAAAACTCATGCTTGTGAGTGTGGGATTAGCCGGTGCTTGGCCATATAAGGCTAATATACTATCCTTAGTTAGCTTCCCTGTTTTATCTTTATCTCCAACAGCACTATGCAATGAACTCTGATTAAAAAAATCCTCTTCCTCCTTAGCCAATGCATTTTGCGAGGAATTCGTATTGTTGACCAACTTTTGCGCTTCATTGTTTGAGGGTGTGGCACTCAAGAAACAACTAAAATTATCATTTTGCATGTCATTTGTTCCCGTTGTAGTTTGACCCGTTGACGAATTTTGTACAGGCTTAGTAGGCGAAGCTAGACCCAACAAATCATTTGAATGATTATTATCTGCATTAGCAGTTCCCGTGTTATTGCTCCGTTGGGTTTTGGGGCTATTGCTGGATTTCGGTTTGGGCAAAGGAGCAGGCAGAGGAACTGCTTTAAGCGTTGAAGAAGTTTTCTTATCATTGCTACTACCACTTAAAACGCCTATCCCTAATGCGCTATTAGCTTGGGCTGCCTTCTTTTTGCGCTTCTGTCTTTCTAACTCTTCGTCGATTTCTTTAGCCCAATCCACCTTGGGTGGAGAGGGTGGCACCCATTCACGAGCTAAATATTTTTTATGCTCATATTTAGCCCGAATAAATGATTCCAATGCCGTGTCAGTCTGAGGTCGACGAAAACCGTCAGGCAATTGAGCTTCGTAGACTGCACGTGCCCGGGAATTACCCATTTGTTGTAATGATATAACTTGTTCTGGTGTCCAAGTATCCAAATTGACCGATTTAACACGTGATATGTGTACTCCAAGATTACGATGAATGCCAGCGCATCGTATACACAAAAACACGCCCAAATTCCAAGAAGCCCAACGCGGTCCTGTAGGAAAGGAAATAAATAATATATAATAAATAACATACAATAAAAATTACAGTAGAGAAAATAAGAGATACGCCTACTATCTAATCACTTGGCCACTAAAAACAACAAAGAGCTTTCACTTATTGAACTTTTATAGATACGGAGTCGTTGAAACACAACAGCTCGATAAATAAAGAATGCTTATGTGTGTGCAAAAATTATATTTAAATCATGATTTAAGACAGCCCTTCTGACGATGCATACACGCAGATATTTGCATAAAGAAAACAATACAGTCGATCAATTGTAAATACAAAATACAAAACGTCAAGCAGGAAATTATTATCACGAACGAATTTAATGCAAGCAACATAAGAGAACAAAAAAATATTATATTCCATATTCGTACCCTTTGCATCACAATCCACACAATATTTATTATCCTCATCGCGCAACATTTGCGTTAATAGCGTTTGACATTTTTCCTGTATTAATTTGGTCCTTTCCGTTTCTTTCCGGCTGGTCGTGGCAGAACTCATTCTTATAGATTTAATTTTTTTGAATTTTTCTATTTATTATTTCCGTACTTTTGTGGTTTCTCTCTTTTATTTTTTATTTCTCTAAAAACTACACTTGCAGGCGTGTATATATCCTATTTATTTAATACATGTATTATGTCGTTTTTTTTTATTTGTATTATAACAAATTTGCAAACTAACAAAAAGAAATTTTGATTGAAATGTAAAAAATTCTCCAAATAAAAAACCATCAATTTGATACCGTCTTTTATTAGAAATGTAAAAATATAGAATAACGGATAAAGAATACAAGTAAGTAAGTAATCGTAACTGTTATTAAATAACAATTATAACAAAGCAGGAAAATATATGCGAAAGCGAAAAAGAAATTATGAATCAGATAATTTCAAGGAAAATAATTTAAATTGAAAATTAAGAAATATGGCAATTAAAAATTGAAAAAAAAATGTATAGAAGAAGCTTGAAGATTCATAAAAAAAGAAGTATTTAATACTTAATGCTCAAAATGCATCAAAATGAAAGCTTAGCTTTAATAATGTTTTTCGTTATAATCTGCGTCTAAGTTTTCTCAACATTTTGAGAACATATTTTAGAATTTCGAGTACAATTTTTTCAAAATACCATTAAAGGTTCGTAGTGGAAACATGGCAAAATCAATTTCACTATTTAGTCAGTCAAACATACGTCTCCGATGTATACAGATTTGCAATAAAAAAGTTTTCTCTTCGTTGGAAACTTGTTTTTTGTTTGCAAACTCAAGAAGGAGAGAACGAATTTCTGAATTCTGAATTCGGGTTGACTTAATAAACTGAACATACGAAGTGGCAAAAAAGTTCACGCTTAGCATTCACTTTGTACCCCTTCTTTTTTGCCATTAATCATAATTTTTTTAAAAACAACAAAATCTCGAAATTTTATAAGTTCTTTTTTATAAAAAGTTTATAAAAATCATACAATGATTACCTACGAATTATTAATGCTATTATAAAAAATAAAGGTTTACATTATGAAATAATATTATTCGTATGGCAACTCCAAGCGTTAAAATAAATTCACGAGCAAATTGAACCAACTCTGTTCATTCATTTAAATGCTTGTAAAACGTTTTAGCCGCGTATTTTAGATTTGCTTGCAAGGTTTCGATTGCATATGTTTAAATTATCCTTCATAGTAAACAGAAAAGCGCTAAGAGCATTCGGCCGGAGTGGCGGCTATGGACGCGGCACGACGTACAATGGGTTTAAACGTGGACAAAGTAAAGGCGAAACTCGATATATGCCGGGAGAGTTTAAAGAAAGGCTATGGCGGCGTCTTTGATGGAGGCTTCTTGAATGTAATTTGAATTACAGTCAAAGTTTTGCGAACACTTTAGTGTCGACTTTCTCATTTTAGTTATTTTGCTTTGATTTTTTTGACTTTTGCCGGACTTTGCACAAGTTTTTAATAAGGATTAACGAAGAAGAAGAAGCTCTAGGAGATGTGTATTTATGTTTAACCCAAATCATGGTCTGCATAAAGTACCTGGAAAAAACAATTCAATTGGAAATAAAACGCGTTGTTTCTATATCGGTATTTTTTTTTTTATTTTTTTTTTATATTAAAAACATGATTTAAACTGTTTATTTCAGGCTGCCCGGCAACATTTTCTAGACCGTTTATACTGTCGCCTGGACCATTTGTGGTCATGTGTTACCTCTCTAAGTAAAAAAGATTATGAAAAAGTGGCAAACATTACAATAGAAGAAAATTCATTTGTCGCGCTTATGGATTTTATATTAGAACAAATAAAACCTTATACCAACTACAAAGACGACGATTCCAAATTATCTACCTCGACAGAAATCAATGTGTCCGCTTCAATGGAACAGGCCGTACTTGTTAGTACACAAATACGTGGCAGAGTGAATATTGTCATCGGTCATACTTTGGCTTTTGCTAATGTGGCTTTGGAATCTGATAAAAAAGCTTTAAGTGCTCTAAGCCAAACGGTGTTACGTGAGTGTATCGCCTGGCAAACGGAGTGTGAATTAGGTCTTAAGCAACCAAACCATTACAACGTTAGTAATTGCCGTGTAAAAGCTAGTTCACTAGAAAATGCTTTGTATAAATTGGAAGATTTTATAAATGAAGCCCTATTGCGCCTAGTATATAGATGTCTTCTAGATTTTGAGAAATTTTCCATAGAAAAGTTACGTATTCTTATGAACCAATGTGAACCAGATGATCCAACTATAGATGAAATAGTAGCTGATTTTGATGTCAATCTAGATCGAACCACACAAATCGGGATTTTTGCGGTCTGCTTTGCTCCCAATAAACAGAGTGAGTTACCCTAAAAAGAGAGGTGATTATAATAATATTTGCATGTATTGAGTTTCAGTTGGAACGTTGGTCAGGAATTGTTTGTCTTCTTTCGAATCCCTAGATTCCTGTATTATTCCTTCTTTGTACGCAAAGGGCAGCGGTCAGCTTTATTCGCAATTATTAGAGTGTCATTTCAAAGAAGAGGTTAACAATTTTAAGACCGCTATACTCGAGATTGCCGACAGTCAGGAATTTACCGTTTGCTTCTATGACTTACTTAATCAATATCTAAAAGATAACGAGAAAAACTATAATAGCTTGTCGCTGCAAGAGATTACACAAATGGGCGAAATTTTAAAGCAACATTTCCTTTTACCGATTAATCAAAAAGTTTTGTTAAAAAGTGGTAATTGCTTCCAATTGTTTAAAAAATTTTGCTTTATGTTAAGTGAATGTCAAGCTATACTTCAAACTTCCGAACGCGTGGACACGAAAAGGGTTATGAAACGATTCAAGATATTGCGGTCTAAACTTCACAGATTAATTAAGGGTCTATCTGATGATGACATTAACGACTGCTCAGAAATGTTTGTGCATTCTGGAAGGGAAAATGAATTAAACTCAACAGGAATAAAATCTTCTTTAAGTGTTCTTTCAAAAAGCTACGGATTCATTCCTTTAAATGAAGGAAGGAAAAGTTTATCACCGGCAAATCAACATGCTAAAGAACGTAGAAGTATGTACTTCCCCTATGCTTTCTTGTAGGCTATAGTAGGTTACTTAAGTTTTTCGTTTTGCAGGAGAAAGTTTGCGCACTGCAATGTTCAGGCGACAAAAATCAGCAAAAACTGAGGAATTATTTAACAGCTATAAAAATTTTTCAGAAAGTTTGCAAATAACGGGTAATTACTGTTCACAATAATAGCTAAAAAAGTAAATTTATAAGATTTTGCTTTGCAGAAATTTTGGAACAGCTTTCGTTTACAAGCATTGTCCCGGTCTAATATCGATGTTGATATTTTGAACATCTTTTGTTTCTGAAAATACGTTTATTAAATATATATTTTACAGGTAAGATCAAACAGAGACACGATAATATTTTTCTTCACCATTAATTCATTTGTTTCACTTATTTTTTACAATGTTTTCAACTCGCCGTTACAGTTACAAGCTTCTTCAAAATCATGTGACTAATACTATGAGTATTATTTCTTAAGATTAGAAAGTTTAAATTTAAGTATATGCATGTAAGTTTATACTATCACTGAAATAAATCTTTTTAAGCAAAGAAAGGGAAATATCTTATCAGGTTGTTCCAATTGAATAGATAAAATCTTTCAATCACGAATTATGATGGCTTCCATATTTCTAAATTTATTAGTTTTGAAAACCTTTTCCGCAAAAAATACTTTGGCACAGAGTAAAACCAAGGAAATGAGTATATCGATGCATCACATTGTTGGGGCTGCAATGCCTTAACATATTAATTAATTAATTATTAATTTGATTGACATATATTGCACAAAAATTGATTTTATTGTACAACAATAGAAAAACAGCACCCACAGCTCATATTGATTGAAGATAATAATAATTTGTTATATGTATATATATATATATATATATATATATATATGGACATATATGCCAAAAAATCTTTTAAATCATTCAAATATGTTCAATTTTTTTTGGGTATCGCTTTACTTATTTAGATTTATTTATTAATATGTAATCGAAAAGATTTCAAAAAGACAAATTTAGTCTATTCATAGATGTCGTAGTACTAAAAATAGTTAATATGCAAAAAGGAAACTCCAAAATTAAAAAATTCTTTTTTCTTTACTTTTTAGAGCCATAATTGTGTAGATCTAAAAATATCACCTTGCTCGGCATATTGGACGACCATTTATTGATTTACAGTTTGTTTTTAACTGCATTTAAAATGTTACGTCTATGGTAATACGATTAGACGATCGTCCAGTTCGAATTTGTGAGCGTTTCAATAATCGCTTCTTGGATGAAATGACAACGAATGGCCCCATGACGTTTGTTTGTCCTCCTTATGTCACTAGAAAGGATCATGCACCACCACCTAATATTATAGAGCATGAAAATTTGGTCCTTTCGTTATAGTCTTTCTTAGGGTAAGGTCGATGGGTATAAAAGATGCAGTCACGACCGCATATAGTTTTCTTACGTCTTCTTTACTAGAATTAACAAGAGCTCTTATTAGATGTTTCACTGATCAAAACTTGTTCGCTTCATTTCGTTTTAAATCTGGCGGAATGCTATTTTAGCAGTTAATATATTTCTTTTAAGTTAAGTGAAGTTTAAGAAAATTAATGTTTTGTGTTCTTGTTATACTATGTGACATTGTTAGTCAATAATCGGATAAAGAAAAACGTAGTTCTTTACTTTTTAAACGTTTAGCTGAAACGGTCAATTATTTGTCAAAATAGTTAATTCGTAATGCTTAACATAAGTTTACTTAAAGATTAGCTAAAAGTTAATATAAAGGAAAAGTTTATACGCTATAGGTTAATACAAAATTAAATTAATGTAACAGAAAAGGACAGATGAAAATAAAATAGTTAAAAAAGATCAAGAAGGCATAGCCTGACATTTGGCAGTAACGATAAGAGTTGAATCACAAATGTATTTACTTCTGCTAGAAATAGAGAAATAGAAAATATTAACAGTTATCATTAAAATTCTTGCATTAAACTCGTAAGGGAGAAATGGTTATGCTGGCTACTTTACTATGGCAAGTGAGGCGAGGGCAAAGAAATTTCTACAATTTCTGCTCGATACGACAAAGTCCGACTTGTTTAATAAGAGCAATGAGAAGATAGCGCTACACATCAACATATATAGTCATAAAACTAAAACCCTAAGTCAGCCTTCTTCACTCAAACGAAGTTAAAATATTTCAAATGAGCCAAAGTACGTTATTCAAATGCCGCCATTGCCCAGACATTCAAGCATCTGCACATAAAATCGAAAGCCAAGAGATCTTACAATTGCTAACGTAGGAGAAAATGTCTTTAAATGAAGCTAAACGTATTGCTGCTCATCGGGCTGTGAATGAATGAAGGGTTCAAACCGACACAGCAATTGGTATAGGAAGGGGGTCAACAGTTGTATTTGTGGTGGGAAGACTTGCAGAAAGGATGAAGTCCCAGAATCTTAATGTTGCGTGTGTACCAACCAGTTTTCAGGCACGCCAACTTATAATAGAAGACGGATTACAATTAAGTGATTTGGATCGTAACCACCAACCGCCGATATAACATATAACTGCGAGGTCCATAACGAGAGCTCTGACGGACCGTCTACGACGACCTAGATGTGGACATCCAAACAGTCACGAACTTCCACGCAATCATGGAAGAGCTGCTGGAGGCTTACCCTGGAATAACTATCGCGCCATACAGGGTAAGCCAAGATCTGTTGGAAAGATTTTTCAGCAACATGGTAGTCAACAATAGCAACAGAAAATGCCGGTCATCCGTAGAAATAATGGCGGTGATCAAAAGGCTAAGGACCGTACAGGAGTAGCGTTGGTCAGAAGCAGTCGAAGAGAAGAACGACTACCTGCTTATCGATAAACTGAGCTACGACCTTGAAGAGTTCCTGAGGCTACTTTCAAGATGTGGAATAGCACGCTACATTCGTGAGCAGCTGTAATGCGTAATATGAGGAATTTACGCTGAACGAAGACGCCTTCTGCTATGTGAAACGAGGTCGCAAGGTTGCCAGAAATAAACTAAATAGCTTAACGTAGACCTCGAAATATCTGAAACCGGCCTTTCCAACAGAATCTGTCCATGAAGCTTTTCAGAGACGTTACGAAATCTTCTACGCGGCCATGACACAGTACCTGCTCGCAAAGAATAGGCATGCGTCTACAGGCAACAATAGTGAGACGAATTCCTTTTTTCCGAAGATCAGGATCATGCAGCAGAAGTGAGCTGCACCGAAGAAACCGGAATAAATTTCAGGGAGAAAATGGACACCAACATCACGTGGTCGTAAGTTTCCCCGCGCGTCATCTCCACCCTCCTCGCAAAAAATTCGTTGCATTCCAATGGTAAGTTTGCATTTATCTTTACTGATTGTTATTTGTAATTTGATTATTTATTTCAATATAATTTCAGATTAAAGCACAATAAGACAATAAAAATTTTTCAGCATAAAAAAACAAATTTTTTTTTCCCGTGAAGGATATTAAGTAGCAGTAAATATGCTGAGCAAGTCTTACGTGCAGCCAAAGAATTCCCCATGCTCAATGTTGATGCCACTTTGCAGCCCATAACACGTACAGTATTACGTATTAACATCAATATATGGCAAAACTTTGCTTGGAATGATCGGGTACATGGTAAAACAAGTCAAAATTTTTGGTTATGGATTGAAGATCACGAATCCAATTTTATCTTTCATTCTGAATTGTTCCAGGTTTATATTGCGCCTTTGAAAGCTTCGGTTAAGGAAAGAATTAGCGATTGCATTCTCAACTGAAGAGAATATGTACAGTGTATGTATGTACACAATATGTATGTTGTACTAATTGTTATAGTCGAAATACATTTTGTAATTGTGTCATCGACGAATTTCATTACGTCAACACAGGATGCAATATATGTATCGTTGGTTTATCTACTGCTTTGGCCAACGTTCAAGATCTCGCCAATTGGCTGGATATTAAGGAAATGAAGTTATATAATTTTCAACCTTCCGTAAGATCGTTTCCTTTGCAAGTGCATATAAATGGGTTTTCCGGTAATTAAAGAATGCTTGGAGGCTTCACCACAACGTTCATTGGAACATAAGCATGGTTGGCTGTTAGTTCTTGGCCATGCCTTGAGTAAAAAAATGGGATATCTCGTCATACAATCTCGAACAAAGAATTTCGCTGAATGGCAAAATTTTGTAGACGCTGTGAAAGTTATGGGTAAAGTTCTGAATACAATAATTTTTTGCGCAACTCATTATTAGGAAGTATTGTTTCCATTAAATTCAGCTAAAATGTTATGCGAGAATCAGTGGCTTCTAGTCTCACACCAGACCAGCAAGCAAAAAGTGGAACTATTTAGAATTTTCCGATGGAATAAAAAGTTCAAGTTATGCGATATGATTTTTCAAGGATATTTTTTTTTTTTAATAACTTTAGCCATGCATGACTGTGAATTGAGAAATTCATGTGACTTTTAAAGTTCACGGCAAAGTACAGAATTATTTGTTGACGGTTTTGCCGTATGGTTATATAGATTGTATTAATTCCTCACAATGCGTGGAAACACTATACAGTCAAGAATATTGTCATCTTTTCTTTTAAATTTTATTTTCAGCACCAACATCCATATTTAAGTGCGATGGTTAACAACTCTACTTGAAGATAAGATCGCGACCGTAATGGAACAAATACCCAATTAGCCGGTTGCGAAGTACGCTTTCGTAATTACAATTTTGACACGCACATCGGTATACGCTACAAAAATAACATTTTATCTGTGTCGACCGATACGGAGAACAGTGGGGAATGGAAGAACTGCTTTGTCGTTAACAATGTAGAATTACCTATGGGCTATTTCTTCGGTCTCTCGGCTACTACCGATGATATATCGGACAATCATGATATATTTAGTTTTAAATTTTATGATCTAGACTCAAATGTAACGGTATGTGGCAACTAAGTTTCGTTTTGCTCGTGAAACAAAATTTTTATAATTACAGCCCGAAATAATAATGGCTCGTGCAAATATTATACCTAACGCTAAAACATTTGAACCGCCTCGAGACCATAAGGATGATCTGAAGTCAAGTATGTCGAATGCGAAAATCTTTTTCATTCTATTGTTTGGCATGTTGATAGCGGTTGGAGTCGTCAGTTTTGCAATTTCTTATTTCAAGGGAAAAAATTCACGTAAACTTCACGTACTAGTTCAGCTCATATAACTCCAATGTAGAGACATAAAGACATGACTTTTCTTTTCTTAGAAAAACAGTGTGAAGTAGTTATATTTTTTGAATATTTTCCATTTTGTATTTTGCACCATAACTAAAAAAAACACATACAATTTCCGGTTCTTACTCGCACATTGTTTTTAATATTTTCTCTTCCACCTTCTGGAGTATTATGAATTTTTAGCCATTGTTTTACTCAATTTTTTATATATTGCACATGATAAATTTTATAAAGATAAAAATGTTTTCTTGTTCTCGATGTCCAAAGAAGTTTGTTAAAATGCATTTGTTGCGACAACATGAGCTTGTGGGCCATAGCAATCACGCAAAACGCTTGTCTGGCTGTTGATGAAGAGATAGCCAAGTTTATGTCGCTGCATTGTGAACAATGCAATGAAGAGGCGACCAACTTTACAGCCCTTAATCGGCATATGCGTGCTGAACACAACGTGCGAGGCTACGTCAGATGTTATAATAAGCAATTTTCTAAGCATGGTTTACTTGTTGAGCACATACACGCCCATTTAAATCCTGCATGTTATAGGTAAGTGAATTCCTTTTTTGTTGATAAAAACATACATTACTTGCTTTTTCTTTTTAGAAGTGAGAACTGTAGTCGTGTATTTCCCGATCGTAAGTCCATGCGTAATCATTTTCTTATGAAACATCAAAAGGATGAAGGCAAAACATTTGCTTGTTCTCAGTGTCCCAGCAAATTTGTTACTGTGTACCTATTACAGCGTCACAAAGTGATTGCGCACCGTGATCGTACCAACACTTGCAAAAGTTGTAACAGAAGGTAAGTAAGGAAGATTTTATTCATAAATTCGCATGTAATTATTTCCACGTTTCGTGTTTTTAGATTTAGTACAGGTGTTCTGTTGTCTGCTCACATCAAGGAGCAGTGTTTATGCGATACGTGCGGGAAAGTTGTGTGTAACACTGCTGCGTTTCAACGGCATCTATTGAGACATAAAAACTGCCTTTCGGAATCCAAAGAATTGCGCACCTGTGATACTTGCCAAAAGGTATCAACAAGTCAACAAGACATGTTGGCTCACAAACTTTGCGCTCAAAATCCATTACGCACTTATGAATGCAATACGTCCTCTATGCACGATAACTTTCCATTTCAGTATCCATATGCAATCACATCCCAAGAAAATGCATCCACAATGCTCGCGTATTCGAACCATCCATACTCCGTCAATCGCCGTTGAATGAATCAAGCAGTAGTAGAAAGTTGCGCAAAATAAAATTATCTAACAGATTTTAGTAAAATCAATTGCAAAACAATTGCAAATCAAATTAAACTATTAGTTTATTTTCAACTTATAACTTCACTCGTGAATAGAATATTGGAAGGCCTATTTCATTTATACAGGTCTATCGCTTACATCGCCTGTTGAAGTGAATACATGTCCACTAATTGTTTTATTATTCAAAAGCACGTCTTTTATACGTCGACAATACATGTAATAAAAGTTACATTTTTAATAATAATAATTTTTTCTTTCTGGATTATGTAGACAAATTTCTTGCCAAAGAGAAGTAGAAGGTGTTAAATTTTCCCGACTTTTTTTTTTAGTGATTTGAAGAACCGTTTCTTGTGTATCTTATACGGCAATAACAACTGCAACAAATATGACACCTTTTTCTTTTTTCTAAAATTGTTTGACCTTTTATTTATTATTTTACTGAATGTGAATGCGTAGCATAAAACGCAATTTACCGTTGTTTTGTGAATTGCTTTCAATTATTTAACCAACAGATCTAGCTTGGCCGATTAATGTTATCTTGCCAATGTGTCAGTTTTGCCTTTATCTTTGAGCGTTTGTGCTAATGAGCTTAGTAGAGACAGTGGCAGAAACATCAAAACCGTTCAGTGCACATTTGTCAGGCAACGAAAGTGTATTATCTTACGTAGCCAAAAACAAACAATAAACATACTTACTTTTGTAGCATCATTGCCTATTGAATCAACATGCTTCAAAACATGAATACCCAGATTATTCTACGTTCGCTTTAAATCATATACTCATATTTATTGAAATTTTTTTTCTTTAGATGTCACAGTTGTCAAACGTCGTTTGTTGACAGCAGTTGTTTATGGGCTCATGTTCTATGGGGACCGTGACGTTGCTTTTATATACATTATAAAATAACTTAAATAATGATAACACTTTTTCAGAGAAATGCGATTAACATTACAAGTAAATGATATGGTTAGAGCATATCTATAAAATTGCGAAAATACTGTTTACTATAAAGACATTGCTATATGAACGGTTACCGGAAACAGCCCCGCCAACCGAGCTAGGCGTTGATTTGCAAACAGCACTATAAAGAGTGTTTTAATCCACTTCCTGAAATGAAAACGAGAAATCTTTGTCTCTAAAATTATTGGAAAATTGTAACATTTTACTCTATAAAAAAAAAATTGTCTACAATTGTGAACTTTTTTTAAGGATTTTTTCTTTAAGTCCAATTATGTTAAGTTTTGTTTTAGTACTGTCTTTATATTTAGTTAATGTACTTCCGATCGTTTTACATATTCCTCTTACATTTGTTGAATTGACAGCGCGATCGAAAAAGAGTTCAGATCATTCGACCGGAACGAAGCAATTTGCACCGATCTAAACATTGACGATTTTCTACGGTGGAAGAAAGCTTTCTACGACTGCTTATGGGATACACTATAAAGCAGTACATCCGCGAGTAGCTAGAATAGCACGACTGCTTCGCAAACCTTATGACGACCTGTTTTAAT